TTTTCCCGGTTATCCAATAATCACTACACAGCTTTCTCTTGAAGCCGGGTTAAATACTGTTTACGCTTTTTTTTATGAAGGAATTTATTGAGTTTATTTTGCTGTAAAATCTAATTAATCGAAATTAGTTACAAATCATCACCAAATTATTTACAAAGCAACGGAACCTGGAATCGAACTCGAGACGACCTCATTGGCAAACCTTTGACACTACCAACTGTGCTACGCCAACACTTTGAACTTATGTAAACAAATCAACATTCCCTTCTACAACAAAATCGCTGAGGCTTTATAATAGTGCACACGAATCACCTTTCTCGACTAGTTATAAAAGAGCAGAGTAAAAGCTGTAAAACTGCACACGTCTAAAAATAAACCTAGTTGACTGTGAAAATGCTTCCGAAGTTGCTCTAACACAGTTTATAAGCTGAGTACAGGTTGTTTAGTTGTTGAAAAAGCACTTTTGATGTTTATGTTATTCAGCAAGAGTTGCTGGTTGTGTAGAAGCCATCAAATGAGTAATATATTCACTTTCTTAGCTTTGTTTTGCAGCTACAAGTGGAAAGTTGATTAGTGTGTGTATAGAAGCGACATAAGCGTTTATTGACTGATGTTATTCAGTGCGACTCACAAATTGAATAATGGTTGTGAGAAAGTTGAGTAAACGCTATCCAAAACTATTTTGCTAGCTTTTGCTTGTAGCTGTATCTGCAGCTTCTTTTCAGCTACTTTACAGCACAACGCTGGAAAAGTTGGCTTACAAAGCTGAAAATGTTAGTTGGGTACCCAATTATCAATTTTCGCAGTGTAAACGCTTTGCTTATTTCATATATACACCCTCAAGCTGTATTCAAACGTTATACGATATGAGGAAACCTTAACTCAACCTCTATACAAGCAAATCTGGCGAACTTAGTCAGCTACTTATGGCTGTTGGGACGGTTGGGGCAAGCTCTTATTCCATATCCATTAACGCTTCTATACAGCTGTTATCCTGCTGTTTAGTTGTGTGTGAACTTGAAAGGCGCTTACTCAACCTTTACCCGATTTTCCAATAATCACTACACAGCTTTCTCTTGACACCATGTTAAATGTTGTTTACGTTTTTTTCTGTATGGAGGGATGATTTATCATGTTTATTTTACTGCGAATCAAATTAATCGAAATTAGTTATAAGCACACCACCAAATTATCTATCCCTGCACTGGAACCTGGAATCAAACTCGAGACGACTGCATTGGCAAACCTTGACACTACCAACTGTGCTACGCCAACACTTTGAACTGATGTAAAAAAAAATCAACATGCCCTTCTTCAACAAAATCGCTGAGTAGAGGCTTTATAATAGTGCACATGAATCACTTTTCTCGACTAGTTACTTCAGCTTTGTAAAGGAGCAGAGTAAAAGCTGCGAAACTGCACACGTCTAAAAATAGACCTAGTTGACTGTAAAAATGCTTCCAAAGTAGCGCTAACACAGTTTTTTACCTGAGTACAGGTTGTTTAGTGGTTGAAAAACACTTTTGAGGTTTATGTTATTCGGCAAGAGCGGTTGGTTGTGTAAAAATCATCAAATGAGTAACATATTCACTGTATCGACTTTATTTTGCAGCTACAAGTTGAAAGTTGATTAGCATGTGCATAAAAGTTACATTATCGTTTTTTGGCTGTTGTTATTCAGTACGACTGACAAATTGAATAATAGTTCTGAAAAAATTGAGTAAAAGCTCTCCAAAACTATTTTGCTAGGTTCTGCTTGTAGCTGTAGCTGTATCTGCAGCTTTTTTACAGCTACTTGACAGCACAATGCTGCAAAAGTTGGTTTATAAAACTGAAAATGTTAGTTGGGTAATTTAGCCTGCAGCAGGATTGTTGGAAAATATGTTCATCAAGATGATTTTAAATCGGGTGATAGACATAATTTTTCCTCACAACTTCGTATCAGACGTCATTTTGATTTGAAGTGACGTATTCATGCTACGATTTATTGAAAAATGCCGAATACGTCAAAGCAAGAGAAATGTAACGAAAAATAATGTCATAGTCTCGGAGTCTTGAATTAAAAATTCTTCAATTGTGAAATTTTAAATGGGTACCAATTTCGAAACATTAAAAATTTATTTAAATCTCAGATCTCAAAGCTTCCCAGTTTCCTAGAGTTTTGCGAAATTGTTGAAGTTCAGTACCTTTCAAAATTTCAAATCTTTTTGCTGAAATAGTAGGAAATATTAGACATTTTATTTATTTTAAATTAGCAATGTTTAAAAGTTCAGAATTTTAAAAACTTCAATCAATCATGCATGTCTTGAATATTCATATAAGATTTACATTTTTTAAGGCATATCTGAAGTCTCAGAATCTCAAGTTTACCGCATCAAATTTATCTTCGAACCTTTCACAGGATTTTTTGGGATTTGATCAAGGTTTTTTTAAATACTCAAACCCCGACTCTCTCTGGGAACACCCACATCGTTTGCAAAACATTCTAGAAATCATCTTAAAAAAACTCTTGAAATTCGCTCTGCAAATCACTTCGAATTTGAATAATTGTAGCATAATTACCTTAAAATTATCCTCAGTATTCTTCTGATTCTCGTGAAACCTTTCTCAAAGTTTTCTGAGAGCACGCAATAAGCTAATATGCGGCATGCAATAAGCTTGAAATGTGACGAAGGAGAGAAGGAGGAGGGTGATGCGCTTGCCATAGATGGTTCAGTTATCAGCATCGAAAATATCCACCGGAATCGACTAGAAGCTCCTCCGTCGCCTGTAGAAACGCCTCCGAACGACGTCTAAAAACTCCACAACAATGGATCGGATAGTTGATACGATCCGAAATTACTACCGGAATCGACATTTTTGGTAGCATCTGATGTGACTCAGGCTCGATCCAACATGGTTGGAACCTAGTAATGAATAGTAAAGCAACTGATTTTCAAATTTCAAAAATTGATTCTAAATTTTAGGATTTATTTTAACAACTGCCTTATTTATAAAAAAAATGTTAAGGAATTGTTCATTTTGGAGTAAAATTTCTAAACAATTTATTTTGTTATTAATTAATAATATATTTATATAATTTAATGCGGCAGAAAAAATAATCTCGTAGCCAGTGCTGTCATCGCACAATTTGAGCTTTGTAGTCGCAGTAGTAATATAAGGGCGAAACAATTGGACAATATAGTTTTATGTCAACATTGCGGTCGTGCTTTGAACACAACCCTTAACTTTATTAATTTTTAAAACCTCCCATCACCCCCCTCCGTAGACAACCACAGACAATCATTCGTCGTAGGTTTTCTTTTTATTTTTCCTTGATTTGTTTTCCGTCGATCTTGTTTTCCGTGCTGAGCACCAATGCTACCAACACCAGGGAGACATCTCCAACACCTGGACCCTACCTATCGACCCATCAACTCATGAACCGGGGACCAACGGCTTTACTTCCCTTTCGAAGGGAGCCGTGATCAGAGAGGTTATGTATCAGAACATCCCAGTGGTGCCGACTAGGATTGAACCCAGCTCTGCTGGTGTGAGAAGTAATCACGCTTACCACTACACCACCGGCGCCGTTAACACAGTTAACCTGGTTCACCTAGGTTCAACCCCATTCGAAGCGGAATTCATGTGCGAAAGTTTAATTAAAATAAATTTCCCTTGATACAATTCTGCTACTTCAGGGGTACCCTTTTTGACACGAGATGTAACGTCAGACTTGCACCATAGCTGTGGTTGCTGCCAGTCCGTAGCGAATCTGTATAGATAGATAGACGGTGTTGTATCCATCCGTTCGCGTTTCCGTTAGCAGCTGTCTATCTGAATGGAAACGAGCATTTTCCCGCTGGGAAAAGGAAGAACGAGTGAAGTGCAATCGCAAACCCTTCACCCGTGTAGTGGGACTAGCAAGTTTAAATTGATATAAATTGAAAATGCTATCCGGGAGAGTTTTTCACCGCTGGATTCTTGCTTGTGTAATGCTATAAAGTATTACAATTCCGGCTTCTAGTGGCACTTATACCGTCACAACAGTCAAATGCAGCCTCATCAATTCTCTTATCGAAAATCTAATTGCCGACACGAAAATCGTTAATTAATATGCGTTTCATCCCTTATTGGTAGATCCGATTTCAGCGGAATAATGAGCAACACAGTTCCTGTTTCGCTCCATTGCCACCATTGACAACAACCGAATTGTGAAAAATGATAATGGCATCGTTCCTGCCGGGGCAAGCCCACCCGATGTAACTTTTAAGGGATACCTTCCACGTCATCGATCGATAATCAGCGGGCAACATTGTCAGGTGCGCTTGAGGGCATTTTAAAACCGTCACAGCCCTTTATGCCAGGGAATGTCATTTTCCCGCAAAAAGGGTTGGTGCTGCCCAGCCTGTGGTTTTCCGCCTGCCGTACACATCATTTTACCTTTATCGTTGCCGTCATGCACTTTCCGGGATGTAAAGCAACTCTTATTAAAGTGCATTCCCTTCGTGTTGATGAGCATGAGCGCGGGAAGGCGAGGGTTTTTTGTTGTCGTTCAGGAACTGTGGACTCAGCTCAGCTGCAGCTCCGAAAATGGTCCGACAGAATGGGCACCCAATGATGCGGTGGATGCTGCATTGGAAAACTACACCCACTCATGTGCTATGTGAGGATGCATGCAGGTAAAACTCCAACGGCAGCAGCTGCAGTGGTTACACTCAATTTGGTGGCATTAAAAGTTGGTCCCTCCTCTCGGAATCGGACCATGCATAATTTAAACGTTTAAAAATTGGAAAACTGCTTGCGGGTGGCACAGTTGTTTCAAAACAAATTACTAGATGGTAGTTGTAAATGCAATGTAGGAAGTAAGTTTGGTGATTTCGGTGCTAAAATGTGGGCGCTGATGATGAAATAAAGTGCAAAATGCAACCTCCGTAAAATGATGATTCATAATGCTTACTTTTAATCTAAAATGTTTACATTAAGTGCATTAATCCTTCCCTTCCTTCATATCATTTCAGAACGTTGAACAAAATTCTACTTCTACTGAACCAGCTTTCAAAACCCAGTGACTACCCTCGGGAAAATTTTCAGCGACCCCACTAATCCCATCATAGTTGACCGAGCTTCGACATTACACAAAGGCACTTTGCCCGAAGGATCACAAACTCACATGTGAAAAAAAAAACCGAGTGCTCCTAGTTAACGATGGTAAAGTTTTCCACCACCCAAACGTGTTATTCCAGCTAAGAGCAGCTGCTCCCTCCGAGGAACGTGACACTGCAGCTCGCCGCACTATTACCCACACATCCATCTAACGATACCGCTCTAATAGGTGTGTAATTAATGTCATAAAGCTTCCTAGTTCAGTGTGTACTGCCGCTCTCAATCCATCAAAGTAGGCTAATTAGATTGCACTTGGCAACATACATCCAGTATTTTTTTTTATGTGTTGCCTACTGAGATATCGCGCGCGTGGAAAGGATTGAAGCTCGCACATACCTCGAACGTGTCACCGGGGAAAAAGTGAAACAGCAAAAAAATCGTGCTTGTTAGTGGTTCCAACAATCATCGCGAAAAAGTTGGGTTGAAATTTGCTCACCATCAGGGCCATAGAAATTTCCATCGGCCACAGACAGGTGCGATAATGGAAATACCAACCGTGATGGATGGAATGCTGAAAAACAGTATGGTCCTGCACGACGATCGGTCCTCGCGGAACAGTAACAGCAGCTCAGGTGAGTCGGTTATTTTGAAGCTTTGTTCGGACGGGGGATTTGGGATTATATTTTGCGATGGTCTGTCTGCGAGACTGTCAATGGTATTATGTGTGATTTGTCGAAGCGTTAATTTGCACACATTGAGCGGATTGCGGTTACGGAGTGAAACAAATGGGTGACAGTTGTAAGCAACATGGTCTCCCAGGTTGATTTGAGTGGGAATCCTAAACTTCCTTCTGTGTTGAGCGAATTCTTTGGTCTTTGGTTTAGTGTTTTCCACCCAGGACATCCCGGGAAACCATTATTAGGAAATTTTCCAAAAATTATATTTTACGGTTCCCGGGAAACAGCTATGCTTGAACATAAGTCATGCATTTTTATTCAAAGTAGACCAAATTATCCGGGAAATTTTGCTGATTTGACTTAAAGGTTTTTTTTTTCTTGATATGTTTCCCGTTGATTTTGTTTTCCCTACTGAGAACCAATGCTACCGACGCCAGGGAGGCAGTTTCCACACCTGGACCCTACCTATCGACACATCATAAAATACCGACATACTGGGAATGAACTCACACCCTTTGGTCACGGAGGTCACGCAAACTTAAGTCATTTTTCATGATTCACTTAGAAATCTGTGAAATTTTAACGAAATCTCAACAGCTGAACGCTCGGTTAACAGTTCGGTGATTTTTCAAAGATTGCCTGTAATTTTTCATTGAAATTTAGTGAAAAATTACAGGAAATCGGTGAAAATTCACCGAACTGTTTACCGAGCGTTCAGCTGTTGAGATTTCGTTAAAATTTCACAGATTTCGGTGAAATAATCTTAGTGTGTAAACTTAGAACAAACTCCTTCTGAACTATGAATTTGCTCAATGGATATTTACGTAAATCCGCTCTGAGACCAAAATACGAAAATTTTACAGATTTTGTCATTCAGATAGAGATTAAAAATATTTTTTGCCATGAAAATACTCGTGCAACACGAGAAAAGGGCCTATCATTTTTGATCGATTCTCTTCATCGATCTTCTCTTTGGCGAATAACCCGACTGCAAATGAATTTCCCATTCGGTGTGTTGATTCCGGTGTAACAATTGTCTTTATAGTTTTGTTATATTACAGACGCTAAAATTGGCTAAACGTATGAGACATACCGGTTGTCAAACTATCCAGCCCGGCCTCAAATCTTTCTTTCCTGGATTTTTTTTCCGTCGATCTTGTTTTTCGTGCTGAGTACCAATGCTACCGTCACCAGGGAGGCAGCTCCTACACCTGAACCCTACCTATCGACCCATCAACTCATGAACCGAGGACCAACGGCTTTACTTCCCTTCCGAAGGAAGGCGTGATCAGATATGTTATGACTCAGAACATCCCAGTGGCGTCGACTGGGATTGAACCCAGGCCTGCTGGGGTGAGAGACAATCACGCTTACCACTACACCACCGGCGCCGGTGTCGGCCTCAAATCAGCTATGAGGAAAGACAACGCAATTGGGTTGGGTGGCTGCCGCAAATGCGACTCGGTCTCTGGCAGAAATCTCAAGCACCACTTTCTTCGACTGATACTCCGTGCGCTAATCTGCAGTGGTTCCACTGGTCCATCGGCACACAACGTTCCTACCAATTCACTGTCTACCATAGTAACCGAAGATCCTTCATCGACGAGTGCTAGAATATCGACTCTTCTCTTGCCATTGTACAGTGTCACTGGAACCATCCTAAACAGCACTGCACATTTCGACTGACGATGACTATTACACTGCACCTGAGTTCGCGAGTATCCGGTTGATCCACCATGAAGCTCTTGTACGACATGACCATGGTCGTAAAGGCAGCAACAATTCCTGGCAGTTCCTTCCATAATGCCCAGACTGTCAGCACACGGAACACTTCAACTCTCGGCACTGGGGTTGCGGCAACGAATTCTTCCCAGCTGACATCACACTCCCTGACCGGCCGTTATCTCCATCCGTGACGTGAACGAAAGGCTTCGTTTGTGGTTTATCTCGCTTCTTACCCTTCTCCTTTGCATGCTTCCAACGCCTTCTCTACGAGACCTTCCATGAATGCACCGAATGTTTCCAAGTCGACAGACTGGGTGCGTTGCTTGTACTCCACCCATTCCATGGCATAGTACGACGGCTCTGCATCAAAATTGAGTTCTTCAAGTGGTCCACCAGCCGGCCGCTTTGAGATGCTGAGTAAACTCTTCGACGGCACTTCCATTGTTCGATTGTTTCAAGAAATGAATGAAATCATTGCTTTCTGCAAAGCCGAGACTGCTTCGTCCGTCTTTCGAGAAAGATGATGAAGCACTAGAGTCAACCCTCGACGGTGGGGACTACAAAGGCAATAAAGTGGTTGCGGAGGGACCAACACGGCTCCAGATAGCGTCTCTACAGGTGTTTCCGAGAAGCCTGCCGAAGTTTTATGGAGCAGCAGAAGAGTGGCCGATCTTTATCAGCGCCTACGAGCAGGCAAACCAGTCCTGTGGTGTCACCAACGCAGAGAATTTGGTCCGTCTACAGGATGCTCTGAAGGAGAAAGCATTGGATACGGTTCGAAATCGTCTGATTTTGCCGGAGAACGTGCTGTTGATCATCGAGAAGCTGAGGAAGAGGTTCGGGAGTCCGGATATCCTGTCAACCAGATTGGCGACAAAGCTCCAGCAGCTAGTAGAGGAACCAAGCTCGGAGAGTTTGGAGTCGGTGATCGAGATCGAATTTTTTGGGTTGGGAAATTTCTCGACTTCCCTGGGAATAGATTATATGATTGTACTTGCCACACAATAATACTAATACAAAAAAATAGTACAGGTATCGAAAGCTCTCGATTAAAAACTGTGGAAGTGCATCTAGAACACTAAGTTGAGAGCACGCAATAAGCTAAAAAGGGATAAGCATTAAGCTTGAAATGCAAAGAAGAAGAAGGAAGTTTTTGCAGAAATGAACTCTACTTTATGTAAGCAAATAAATTAGAGTCAGTTTTGGTAAGTTATACTTCCTCAGAACTTTCGAAACCCGAATAGCATGAACAGCAAACTCATTACGAACAATGTCTGATCAACACGGTTGAGAATCCGTAACTCGATCCTCTCTTCAATTAACTTCCAAAATGTCTCAAACAACCTTCGTCGCGAGGTATAACGTTTCTCATTTCCAAAATAATTGAACCAAACTTGACATCACGGAATCCCCTTGGCACACCAGATCGCGGAGGGTACTCGCCCTCGCCATCGTCATCATCCTCATCTTTCACGAAGCGTTTCAAATTTACACGTGCTGTTTGCTGAAAGCTGCTGAAATTAAATTAGATCAGTGGTGCTCAGCTGATGGCATATGGCGGGCCGTATTGCAAGGTTCTACGTAAATTGCGGGCCACACTCAGCACCGTAGTAAGGAATGGTGAAAACAGGCAAGACAATTTTTTTTTTAGATCTTGAAGAAACATTTTGATCACGAATCATAAAAAAATATTTTTTCTATAAAACTGTAACAGCTTTTATGAGCTCTAAAATTAAGTAAATATTTGGAAGTTGGGTATCTCAAATGATTTCCGAGGCCTCATTAAGATTTGAGAAGTTTCCCGAGCTACAGAATCATGAAAATTATCCGAAGGCTGCTATGCTGAACGCCATGGTTAACACTATTTTTTGAAATCCAGTTTATTCCGAAGAGAACTCCCAATGAATTCGGGAAAGTATTCTATAAGGAATTCCGAAGAGACTAGACAGTAGTTATGAAAAGAAATTGAAAGGCTTTGTGAGGAACGCTTCAAGAAAATACTGGAGCAATTTAAAGTCATGGCAATTCTTAAGAAAATTTCAAGGGGGTTGTAAGGAAATGTATAAGAGAATTTAAAAGGGTTCGTTCTTACTGTTTCAAACTGCGGACAATTTATTAGAAGATGTTCCACCGTTAGGGGAACCTGGCAGAACTGGCATGTTGGTTGAGGAGAGGATGATATGTAGTGCTGATGGGTGATCCTTGTATGTCCAACTCTAAGACGGGATAATACTTGTTGTTCTCTTCGACTTTTCCTGTCCGTTCATCTTCTTATATCTCCTATTATTTTCCTTAGAAAAAGGACTTCGTTTGATGCCCACTGCTGCTCCCATGTACGATTAACAGATTGCGTGATTGTTCTGCGAACATCAGAACATGGTATGTTGAGGTCCCATTTTTTGGAGCTTCGGCCAAGGCAAGCGAGACGGTCTGCTTCCTCGTTGCCTTTAATGCCGCAGTGGCCGGGTATCCAGCACAATGTGGTGTTAGCTCGGGTGGCAATCTCGATGGCTTGAATAAACGGGTGTTTCTGTCCGGGGTTCTCCAAAGCTGCTAGAACACTAGCCGAGTCTGAAAGTATGATTGTAGGAGTGAAGTCGTCAGCGCTACTGTTTATGGCGTGTAGAATGGCTGCTGCCTCAGCAGAAAATACAGAAAACTGATCTGGAAGCCTGTGTGCAACACATAGTGATGAACTATGTACTCCGATTCCAACGGTTCCATTCGATCGGGACCCGTCAGTGAAAGTTTTGATATGTGTAGCATATTTAGTTCTCAGTAGATGATTGACTACAGCGGCGGTTCTTCCTGAGGAGTCACCAGCACGAACTGCTCGCTTGATCGACCAATCGATTTGGGACCGATGTGATTCCATTTCCGATCTCCAACCCGGTGGACTTCTGCTACCGGAGGGAAGTCGATGTTGGCGTACTCTTGAACAAGGTTTTTCGCTTTTTCAAGGATGAAAATGTTTCTGGTTTCTCCGTATGTCTTTTGAATATAGCTGATGGCTCTGCTGGATGCTGCAGTCGTCAGTAAGAACTGAAACGGAATGACACCAGCTTCTACACATGTAGCAAAGGTAGGTGAGCTTGGAAGAAGTCCGGAAGATAGTCGTATCATCCTATTTTACACGGGGCTTAGAGAGTGGATCATTGCTGCCGATGACCGAACAGTAATTTCCAAACCGTAAAGTAATTTGCTGGTAACTATAATGCGTCAGATGTTCT